CTCCTTCTACCATTCACGAGTAAAAAATAAGTGTCAGTTCTCGAATTGAGGGTTACTAGTATTTTCAATTCATAAAATTTTATATTGTTTTGTTTTATATTTCTAAAATTTGATTTGATTTTAATTTTAATATCTAAAATTTAACTTCTTTTTTGTCCATGAAAAAAGGTTTTAGAAGCCAAAACTATTGATTTTAAATTTTAAACACAAGACCAAAATGAAGTTAAATTTAAGGAATTAAAATTAGTATTAATGTTGTTGCAATTGAAAGACATTAATCTGGAAGCCTGCGTTTTTTAAGTCAACATGAAATAAATAAATGCTTAGTAATATTGTATTTACCTCACGCCGAGGGCCTCGCATAAATCCAGATTGCCCTGTCCGTGACCGTGCAACCACTTTGCAACCGATAAGTAGATGCTATGCGATGAGCTTTAGATATTTAACTTTGTTTATTTTAAATGATTTTGTATGTGATTTCTCTTGCTACTAGTAAAATGAACTCTTGTTTTTGGCCAAAAAAATGATCTTGCATTGTGTAATATTAATTTACTCTTCCTGTCTGTAGTGTAAGACTTAATTAATTAATTTGAGTAGATTAAAAATATTAATTAAATTAGTTAATATGATATGTTTTTTTTCTAAAATACTGCAAGTATCTTTTTTAATTTCCTCTCTCCTTCTCTTATTAATTATTGTTGGGAAGATAACAATTGAGTTAATTTGATAAAAAATTAATAATAGTGTAAAATACATCTTACATATAGAACTAATATCAACTCTTTAATTAGGCTCTACATCAAGAACCTGAGGAGTAACATTTATTGTTAATGAAAATATTTTTGTTTCATAAACCGCAAAAATATTTTTTTCAAAGTAGCCAAACAAACACGTCGCACAGGCTGCAAGGAAGCGCACCAGATCATGGCAATACAGTAATTGAAAGGCGGCAACTTTTTTTTTGGATTACTCCATCCAGTATCCCAGGATAATAAGTGTCTTTCAGCCGTGACAACGACCCCAGACTAGTCCGGATTCGGGGGCTTGCAAGGATCCTTTCGGACGGCGCCCCCTAGCCCCTTAGAGTGCTGCATTCCTACGTCTCGAACCCGAGATCCATAGTTAAGCTAGGACAGCCCCAGCCAACTGACCTAATCTCACGGGGTTAAAGGCGGCAACTTTAATATATATTTGAAATAGTGGCATTCTTTTAATAATTAGTGATTATTATTTCAACTACAACATTTTGACTTTGGCCCATGCCTTAATTAATATCTTGACGTGATGCGATTAGAAAAAGTTCATGGTTAATGAGTGTGTGATTAGAAAATGTCCAAAGCTCTAATCAAGGGTTTAAATTAAATATGAGACTGAACCGATTGAACAAGGAACCAGCTCGTTCTAATTTTGACCGTGCCATTTTTGTTTTCTTAAAAAAAGTGCACAATCATAATCGTAATTACTTAAATCAGTGGGCCAAAAGTTGCAATATTCCTAAAACACAGCCTTCAGGATTCAGTCCCGTTTGTCGGTTATTATTATTTTTTTTTAACAAGAATTTTTTTTGAGCGGAACAAGAAAATTTATTGATTAATGAATATTGCTGATAAGGCTTGGTACCATACCACAAGGGGAGTGATACGCCATTGTGGAAATATCACCCAAAAAATATTGCGTTACTTTCAGCGTTAATAATAAATTAAAATCACCATCAAATTAATTATAGGCATAGTTAATGAAACTTGAAAGATCAATACGAAAAGGACGTATTTCATATTTTTCCACAATATTAAATACTCCTCTAGTCCTTAATATAGGACCCAATTGTTGAGTTGGTTTTGGTCCTAAATATAAAATCCATTTCTCATATTTATCAATTTTTTCTAAACTATCCCTATGGATACTCCCTCAACTATAATCAAGTAGAAGAGAGAGAGAAGATATTAAGAAAGATGATTATGGTATTTTAGGAAAAACGTGTTAACTTTCTTATAATTAATTAAGTTACTTAACTTTCTTAATCTAATCAAATTAGTTAAATGGGTCTTATATTGGAACCGGAGAAATACTTCAAATCAAGTCACCGAAAATTTATAAGGGAAAGATACTATAAATCATATAACTAATTCGTATGGTTAGCGGGTGAAGGGTTTGCATCACTTGGAAAAGGTGTTTAATGAATTATTTGTTATTGGCCTAAAAAATATGGAAAGGAAGGGGAACTCTATTGTTTGTTATTAGGGGTGAAAATAGGCCAAGTCAGGCCAGGCTTCACCTTTAATAAGCCTAGCCTGTAATGAGGCCTATTGGTCTAAGCCTAGTATGCGGCCTGTAAAAGGTAAGGAACAAAAAACCGGACCGGGTATTAAACCAGTTAGAACAGTGGGTCAAGGGTCAATGGGTCAGATCGGGGTTAGACCGAGTTAAACTGGTAATAATTAAATTAAATAAAAATATTTATATTTTAGTTATAAAAAATAATACTTACTGAATGGCTACTCATATTACAAAATAATTTTTTCGGATATTACAAAATATTTGTGTATACAATTTTTTTTAATTTTTTTCTCTTTCTCCTCTTTTCCTGACCCAATGCAATCTTCTTTTTTTATTTGGTATTTTATACTTTTATCTCTTTCTTTTCTCTCTCTCACGTGAATACTTAGACTTTTTCTTCTCCACAACACATCACGAGGTGACCATTTTATGCCTCTCTCCTCCTTGAACGGCAGATTCAAATTTCCATCTTGAAAGTTGAAACACTTCTTCTCTTTCTCATTCAATTTCGTTCCTCCGGTCCTCCTTCTTCGCTTCTTTCTTTCTCAAACAACAGAGGTGGTAAACAGTAACCATTGTTTCTCCTCTGCACATCCGTTCTATTTTACCTTCCCCCTTGCCTTCCACTTTTCATTTCACTCTTCCACGAGCACATGTTCGAAGTGGCGCAAAAGAGACGTTCAAATAGGTCTTTCTTTCTATGATTTTTTCTGCTTTTACCATTTCTCTCAACAGTATCCATGTCTTCTCCGGTGAGACGGTAAGAGTAAAAAAGAAGTAGGGGAAAAAAAGAAAACCGGCGACCTACCAACCCAACGGTTTTCTCGGTTTTTGTCGGTTTTTTACGGTTCGTTCCGGTTCGTTCCGGTTTCATTTGAAGCCGGTCTTTTCTTCAAACCAGACCGGACTGGAGGCCGGTTCACCGGTTTTCCGGTTGAACCGGCCGGTCCGGTCCGGTTTTTTTTTCATTGGTAAAAGGCCTTCTATTCGGCCTAAACTTGACCTAGCCTATGGCCTGTTAAGATGTCTTCTTTTAAACAAATTTCAAACACACATAAATCATTTCAAAATTATAATAATTCAACCCAATTTATCTAAAATACAAACGGAACATATAAAATTATGAAATGAACACAATTTGTAAAACGTGTCTCCTTGGGCTAAAAAAAAAATCAAATATGAAAAATTATTAGAAAACATAATTTTACTCTGGTATAAAATTATCACTTCATCCCATCTCTAGTATAAAAATTAATTGATGACTAGATCTAGTTTAAAATATGAAACGTCCTTAATCCCTTTTATATTTTAAATTTATCATTTGTTCAAATTAATTTACTAACAAAATGATATTTGATCTCGTTGTTACACATAGTTGTTTTAAAAAAAATATTTTACATTTATTATTATTTATTTAAATTAATTAAGCAACTATTATAATAAGAATTAGATTGAGCACACATATATATAGTCTAAAACATAATAGGTCAATTCTATAAATATATATATTTTATATAAGATTAATATGAAAAACATGGATCAAATAAATGAATGATGCTTTTGTTTTTTTTAATGCACTTATGTTTTTTTTCTCTGTTCAAATATATATCATTCTACACACATCAATTATTTTTATTATAGAGAATGAAAATAAAATGAAGCATACAATGATATCTGGATAACACGTTTACGTTGGTGGAATTTTCTCAATTAATCAATCAGAATAACAGATTCCCTCCTGTCTGTTTACAATTTTAACCTAAAAAAAAAGATAATAGGCCCAAACCGCCTAACAGGTCTAATAGATATATTATCAGGCCTAAGTCTAACCTGATAAAGTAAACAAGCTTTTTTACAGGCTTGAGCCTGTTCGGATATCTAAATAGGCCAGGCCATAGGCCCTCCACAGGCCGTCTGACCTATTTCTACCTCTATTTGTTATGAAGGTTTTTGGAGGTTAAAAATAAATTTATATATATATGTGTGTGTATATATATCATCAATTTTTCTGCCGAAGAAGGGGCAAAAACGCGTGCTTCGTCGACCGTATAACGGCTTAAAGATAATTGTATTGTGGTTCAGTACAAACTTCCCTTGGGAGAGAATAAAAACTTAAGAAGAAACATACTCCCTCCGTTCCTTATTATAAGAGACGAATAACCGAATTACGTTGATAAAAAAACAGTTAAAATTAGTTAAGAACAATTAATATGTAAAAAGTATAATTTTTTTCCAAAAATGTCCTCATTAATAAGGAGAGAAAACATGAGAGAGAACAATGGTAATTTATTAAAAGAAAGAGAAGTGGGAAGGAGAGAGAGTGTGAGTTGGAGACAATAAATATGGGTAAAATAGGAAATCAACACAAAAAAATAGAGACAACTTTTAAGTGTCTCTTATATATAGGAACATGCCATAAGCACCAAATGTCTCTTATAATAAGGAACGGAGGGAGTATCATTTAAGTATCAACAAACTTACATGCTAACCCATATACTCCCTCCAATCCTAATTATAAGACCTCATTTATAATTATAAGATCTTGTTTATAGTCCACAAATAAAGTTTTATAATTAGGACAAGAGGTAGTAATATTTTTAGGAAAAGAAACATTTTTTATCTTATTGACAGCGTCACCATATACTTCTTTTATGTATCTTGCACAGAACAGTCCACCTTGCCCATTTAACGTTCTTTTACGACTAGTCCTATCATTACCTAATTATGTAAACGATAAGTTGGAATAGCCAGTAAGGGCTTAGTTCTTGGGATTGTGAGACCAAACTTTTCGTTCATGTCCAAGTCACCGGGACAAACGCCACGAGGAAGCTCCCAATTAAAGCAATGCACCAGTTGAGCTAAAGCTAATTTAACTGTAGTTAGACCCAACTGGGTCCCAGCGCATCCTCTTCGACCTGAGCCAAATGGTAATAGCTGGAAATCATGCCCTCGAACATCTATATTGCTATCGACAAATCTTTCTGGATAGAACAAATGAGCATTGTCAGACCAAACCTTAGGATCACGTCCTATGGCCCATACATTTACTAAGATCCTTGTCTTTTTTCTTATGCAATATCCACTGACTATGACATCATCCTTCATACTTTCTCGAGGGATTAAGAAAGGTCCAGGTGGATGTAGTCTGAGAGTCTCCTTAATGACCATGTCCAAATAACTTAAGCTCACTAAATCAACTTCTTCCACCATTCTTTTCATTCCAACTACTTCTTGCAGTTCATTTTGGAGATCTTTCATGACTCTTGGATCCCTCAAGAGTTCAGACAGAGCCCATTCAATTACAACAGAAGAAGTATCAGTTGCCGCAAGGATCATATCTAATAAAAGAGCCGTGAGGTTAGGCCTATCAATGGTGTGGTCTTGATCATTGTGCAGCAAATCCATGGGTTGATGCAGCAAAGAAAGCAATATGGAGATGAAATCTTTATGGTGCTGTAAATTTGGTTCTGTAAGTGCAAGTTCATGCTCAGCGATTATCTTCTCCAATGCATCGTCAAGCGCCTTTCTGTTTCTCTTTAACTTTCGTGTCAATCTACCAAACATTAGTTGAATAGCTCCTTAGCTGATTTGAGTGTAACACTAAATACATATTTTTCTCCTTCATATATATTTTGTGTAACAACTTCAATTAAGAGAATATTCAAAAATTTCCTGATCCATCCTTTTATCTGCAGCTTCTTATTCAATGATCTACTTGTGGCGCTCGCGCACACACATATATATAGCATTCTTTTATAATTAAGTCATCAATGAAAACTATAACAATCATGTTATCTTAACTTCTTTCTTTTTTTTGCCAGGAAACATATTACCTTAACTCTCTTCCGCAATAAATCTATGATTTTCTTGAAAAGTATCCAAACAAGAGATGATATTATTAGTTTGTAAGATAACCCTAATTTTCGGTTCATATATGATGAATTTTGACATGCACAACTGTGGTTGGTCTTGAATTCAAGATTAATTTCAGCACGCATATATATGTTTGGATTTTTTTTATCGAAAAAGACCATAATTTTGACTCTTATAATTACTAAATCAAACAATTTTATGCCATTAGATTATCAAATATTAATATTAAGCAAAATTCTCTCTTTTGCGCAAGGCATATATACCTGAAGATCAAACGCAGCAAGCCAAGGGATATAATCAGCAATGTTAAACTGTCCCACCAAGTTCAGAACCTCGTTCATCAGCCCTCGCAACTGAAACCTATCATCCTTACGACGTCCCAGCACCATCCTATACATCATGTTCTCCAAAAGCTCCCCCACCTTTTCACTAACATCCACAACTTCTCCGGCGGCCGCCGCCCTCTCCAGCCTCTTCACCGTCGCTCCCACCTCCTCCTTCCTCAGAGGAGCGAACATCTCCACTCTTGACGCGCTTAGAAGATGAAGGGTACACAATTTCCTCACATATCTCCAGTATGGACCATACTCTGCAAACGCCACTCCCCTCACTCCCTTCTTGAACGGATCTGTCGACTGTACTTTGGGTCGAGATGCAAAAACGGCGTCGTGCGTCTTCAGGATTTGCCCCGCAGCTTCAGGGGACGAAACGACGACCGCAGGAACTTGTCCCAGCTTCAACGACATGATCGGACCGTATATTTTGGCCAGTGATTGAAGGCTGCGGTGTGGCCGTTCGCCCAACAAGTGAAGGTTGCCGATGATTGGTAGGGACGGTGGTCTTCCGATCATCTTGTTGTCGTCTTGTGAAGAGCATGGAAGTGGATAGAATGAATATGAATGTAAGGATGAAGAGGATAGCAGGAGGAAACATGTTTGATTGTTTCTTCAGAGACAAAAAACAAAATTATGAGCTTTTTACATGAAAGTGGAGACGCAGGTAAGAGGTTTCGATGGCTAATGTAGTAAAATAAATAAATAAATAAAGGTTCAGTAATTCATTTTAGGTATTATTTTTTATTTTTTAAAATGGCTCTTACATTTATTGTAAAGGTATAAATTTATACCTTGCTGGAAAAAAGGAATTATCAGCCAAATTAAAATTTATTTATAATGCCAACTTTCGAGAGTGCTTCAAGAGGCAATGTTATGAATATCCACGCTAGATTTATATCTCACGGAATGCACGGGATGTTTTAGTACATGAAAGGTAAAGTTAAATAGAAATTGTAGGTTTTCGGACATACCTGGAGTCTGCAATGTAATCAGGTTGCCACGCGGAGGTCCGATCACGGTGACGGAGTCGGATCTGTGTTTTCACAGCAAATGCACCACGAGAGAGAGAGAGAGCCGAAGGGAGGAAGTGTTTTTGTGGAAAAATAAACCCGCGGGTGTGTTGCATGGAGAGGAAGGAAAAAACGGAAGTTATATCTAGCGGCAGTTTTTGTAACTACCTCCACTTATCCATTCCTCATAACCGTGCGGTTCCAAAAACAAGAAGGGGAAAATTACGACTAATGACCCACATTTCTTGTTATTTTCACCAGGACCCCAACTGATAATGGGCTTGGGTCCAATCCACCAAGGGTGGACTGGCCCATTTTCCTACATCTCCCACTCACACTTGGTGGATTAGATGTCGCGGGTCTAGTCTCTTCACCTTCCCTCAATTTCATACTTAGTGCTTTGCCGTGACCGCGTGGGCATGACGTCTTCGCTTGGGTCCTTGTACTAGAAATCCCTTTTAAAGGATCAGCACAAGTCACCCTCTCCTTTGTGTAGCTTGAATTTTAAAATTATGCCTCAGATGTCCCAGATTTACTTATATACACTTTTTTGGTAAATCTAATCCCTCTCGAGTCAATGTTGACTCAGATTACCTTTCTCTTATGTCTAGTATCCACACTTACGACCACAAAATGTCATAAGGGACATGTCACAGACACTAGCATAGGTGTGTATATCACAGTTAATCTTCCTTTCGCCCAAGTATCACTTTGAAATGAATTAGTCGCTTTCTCAGCATACTACCTTAGATCGCATCAATCATGACCATAGGACATATGCCAAAGTAGCAGTCACTGAAACATATCTTCATGATATTGTCAAAGTCAAAGGACACCAATAGGAGGATAATTCCTCCCTGGGACTCACACAGCAATGAAGCAGGGATCTTTCACTTGCTTCCCTTTTTGCGGTTCTCTCAGCACATGTGGTATGAAACACATGCTACGGTGTTACTCTTTTACTATAAGAGCGTATGTCGATTTAGATTTATTATCAACACCGTACAGACTTAGGTCCAGACACACTCAGTATCTAAACCCAAATTCTTCAACTCTGCTCATTGTTATGACGTCGACGTTGAAGAGTTTGTTGTCTGGCTACAGGTATTATGGAAGTGGGATTCCAAACTTCGATCCAGCTTTATCAACGTGGATCTCATCTTGACTTGCTACACTTTAGTCAAGGCGACATAAAGTTTGTGTTTCTTCTCTACCATATCAGCATTCATTGCTGCTTTACTGGTGAACACAAATGTCTCATCTTTGTTCACTCCACCTGAGTGTCAAAGGCGGTTGCCCGTGTGAGAGAGCCAACCTTTTTAACCTGTACGACATACTAGACATTGTATACTTTCAGACAGACACATAAAGTGATAACGAAATATAATTTCATTAATGAAGCATTCATATTACACTTTACGTATGCCAAGGGCTTGTACATGTTCTTTAAAAACTTTTTCGCCTATTGGCTTTGTCAGAGGATCTGCTACCATACATTTGGTTGAAATGTATTGTACAGTAACAATCTTTTGTGCTATGTAATCTCTAACAAAATTATACTTGATGTCAATGTGCTTGGTTTTGCTGTGATACTTAGGATCTTTAGTATAGGCTATGGCTGCAGTATTGTCACAGTATACCATCACCGGATTGGTACTCTTGTTTCCAAATCCAAGGTGTTCTATAAATCTCTTCAGCCATAAAGCCTCTTGCACTGCTGCAGTGCATGCCACAAACTCAGCTTCCATTGAATGTAAGGCAATGCACGTTTGCTTCTTGCTACTCCAACATATGGCGCCATTGTTGAGTAAGAAGGTATAACCTGAAGTTGACCTTCGTTCTTCTTCATCTCCGCCTACATCAGCATCGGAGTACCCAACAAGACGCAGGTCACCTCCTTCGTAGCACAGTGCATAATTGGAAGTGCCCTTTAAGTATCTCAAGATCCTCTTCACTGCTTTCCAATGCTTTTCACCGGGGTTAGACTGGAATCTGCTCACCAGTCCCACTGCATAACAGATGTCTGGTCTTGTACACATCATTGCGTACATCAGACTACCAACAGCACTGGCATATGGAACTCTTTCCATCTTCTTTTTATCAGATTCGGTTTTGGGACACATGTCAGAACTCAAAGCCACTCCAGTAGCAACGGGTGTACTCATGGGATTGCAGTCTTTCATGTTAAATCGCTCAAGAATCTTGTTGATATAATTCTCTTGTGAAAGAGAGAGGATTCGTTTTGAACGATTTCTTTGGATCTTAACTCCAAGTATATACTCTGCTTCACCCATGTCTTTCATTTCAAAATTCGACGAAAGCCATTCTTTAATAGCCACCACCGAATCTAGACTATTTCCGGCTAATAGTATATCGTCTACATATAAGGATAATATGACAAAATTACCCTCAAACCGCTTAATGTAGACGCAGTGGTCTTCCTCTATCATTTGGAAGTCATATGAGGTTATTGCTTTGTGAAACCTCAAATACCACTGTCTGGATGATTGTTTCAATCCATAAATGGACCTTTTGAGTTTACAAACTTTATTTTCTTTTCCTTTTTCAATGAAACCTAATGGTTGTTCCATATAGATTTCTTCATCCAGATCACCATTCAGAAATGCGGTTTTTACATCCATCTGATGTAATTCTAAATCTAAACTGTTTACTATTGCCAGAATAAGTCTAATAGAATTGAAACGCACAACAGGTGAGAATGTATCTTCATAATCTATTCCTTCCTGTTGTGTGTACCCCTTTGCCACTAATCGAGCCTTGTATTTGTCAATTGATCCATCCACTTTTCTTTTAATTTTGAGAACCCACTTGTTCCCAATGGCTTTACGCCCTTTTGGAAGATCAACTAACACCCAAACTTGGTTCTTTTTCATTGAGTCCATTTCTTCTTCCATAGCTTTCATCCATTCATCTTTTGCAGGACCTGACAAGGCTTCTCGTACAGAACGGGGCTCATCATCCCCTTCTGGAGTAACTAAGAGAGATTCGCTTTCTATTTGAAAGCGTCTTTTGGGAACACTTTCCCTGTTACTCCTTCTGACGGGAGCTATTTGCTTATCTTTCTTTCTTTGTTCAGGTCTTGGTGTTGACCTTTCTTGGCTCCCACTCAGATTGACACACCTAGACGATTCTGGTCTGTCAATTTGTTCTGCACTGACTTGTTCCTGTGTCTCATAAAGAGATACAGTGCGGTCAACATCTCCTCTTTTAGGAAATTCAGTCTCAATGAATGTGGCATCTCTTGATTCCATTTCAGTCACTGTTCCATCTTCGTTTTCACCTATGAAAACGTATCCTTTAGATTGTTCAGAGTACCTTATAAAAATACACTTCTTTCCTCTAGGACCCAATTTCCCATGCTTGTGGGAATCATCATGAACATATGCTGCTGACCCCCAGGGTCTTAGGACACTTAGATCCGGTTTGCGTTTTGTCCATAATTCATAGGGTGTGGAAGCGACTGATTTTGAGGGCACACGGTTAAGTATGAAGGTTGCCGTTAACAAAGCATCACCCCAATATGAAATTGGTAGGTTTGCTTGAGCCATCATAGACCTAACCATGTCTAGAAGAGTTCTATTCCTCCTCTCAGCCACTCCATTCTGTTGTGGAGTGCCAGGGATAGTCAGTTGTCTAATTATCCCTTTTTCCTCACAGAGCTGTTTAAATTGATCAGATAAATATTCACGACCTCGATCAGTACGTAATGCTTTAATTTTACTGTCCATTTGATTCTCTACCTCATTTATGTATCGTCTAAAGCACTCAAGTGCTTCAGACTTATGCGAGATCAAATAGACATGACCATATCGTGAAAAATCGTCAATAAAGGTAATAAAATACCAAGCTCCGTGTCTCGCCCTCACACTCATCGGACCACAGATATCAGAATGGATTAATTGCAATGGATTTTCAGCTCTTGTTCCCTTACCGAAAGGTTTTCTAGTTGCCTTACCAGCTAGACAATTTTCACATAAGGACATTTCCATGTTAGGGATTGTGCCCAACATTCCTTCTTTTGCTAGTTTAATCATTCTATTTTGATTAATATGTCCTAGTCTAGCATGCCAGATATTCATATCAGGATTGCTTGAAGAAATAGCAAAACAATCATGAGCGTTAAAACCAAAAGCAAGATCCATAACAAAAAATTTCTGGAATCTGAATGCTGAACCATAAAATTCAGAGTTGAAGGAAATGTCTGCAACTTTATCATGAAAATAAACATTAAACCCAAAGTCTACTAAGCAAATAACAGAAATTAAATTCCGTCGGATGTCGGGAGCATGAAGCACATCATGGAGTATCAAGGTCTTTCCACCACGCAAAGCAAGCTTGCAGGTGCCAATCCCTCGAACCTCGATTCTCGCATTGTTCCCAACATAAAGCCACTTGCTTTGATACGGCAACCGACGGTATTCCACGAAGGATCCCCGATCCCTGCTTACGTGGTCTGTGGAGCCTGAGTCTATAATCCAAGAAGAAGAAACAGGTTCTGTTAGAAAAACAGTACTAGAAACATATGAAACATGTGAATTCACATAATTCACTAATACCTTTTCGCTTTCAGCCTGTTTGGAACAGTCACGTGCGAAATGGCCCATTTGTTGGCAGGCGAAGCATTTGACCTTCTTCAGGTCTAGCTTCTTCTTCCCGCCTTTCTTTCCCTTCTTCTTAAATTGTTTCTTGCCCTTTTTAAATTGAGGACCGCCCTTCTTCCCTTTCTTTTGGGGCTTCTTGCCCTTTTTGAAATTGGGCTTAGATTGGGAAGTACCAGCATCCTCAGTTAAATAAGTCTGTCCAGAGCTCTTGTAAGCCTCTAGACGTTCATCTTCCAGCTCCAGATGCTTAGCTACATCGTTAAAAGTGATGATGTTTTCATTGTGGGTTAGGTTGACTTTCATGTGCTCCCAACTTGCAGGGAGTGACCTGATGACAGCCTGCACTTGCTGCTCATCAGACAGATTATGTCCAGCTTCCTTCAGTTCCCGGATCATATTGGCCATCTCTCTCAGATGTTGCTTCATAGGATTGTTTGGCTTGAGCTTATAGGTATCGAACTTAATCGTCAACCTTCTAAGCTTGGTCGTAGAGACTCCGCCAAACTTATCCTTTAATGCTATCCACATGGCCTGTGCAGTTTTGTGCGACTCAAACTCGCACATCAGGTCGTCAGCCATGGAGCTCAAAAGCGTGATTCTTGCTATGCTATTCTTCTTTTTCCAGGTTAGATATGCCTCTTGGTCTCTCCTGTGCTGGGTGTTGCCAGCTTCAGGTTCAACCATAGCAGTGGTGAGAGGCTCTATCGCATCCTGTTCTTCTAGGATATACTGGACCTTTCGGTGCCAGATGTCCCAGTTGTCCCCGTTAAGCTTTTCTCCCTTGTTCAATTCAGCAATTATGTTCTTGGTTGCCATTCTTAGTTCTGTGACAAATCTATCCCACATTAATCTATGTTCTCTTTGAAGAGAACCGAACCAAAGAACATTTCAGTTATATAGCACAATGAAGTATACAATGTAATGTGCCTATATTATCCTCGATCAGTAAATAATGAAATTACAAGATCTATGATCAAGAGAATACGTTTGTACCTCCCATCACACAGATACTAGCAATAATCATCATGTCCTATCAAGGATTTTATATAAGCACTTCAAAGATTGTAACCTTTAGAAGTCTCATCTTCTAAAAGCTCCCACTTATAAAAGGCATACATATGATATTCATAAATAATCATACAACAATAATTCAAGTAATTTCATTAAATGAAATAACATACTTAGTCTGTTTACAATGCATGAAACCACAAATTCAAGGCGAATACAAATATTACATCATTTGATATGAACATAAATGTAATCAAGCATTGCTTTTCTTAGGCTTCTAAGTTTGCGCGTTTTGTTCATAAAGGAGGACACTAGCTCTATGGCCCAAATCCAGTAAGACTTTCTTATGGGTTTGCCTTTAGGTCCGCCTCTAACTCTTATTGCTCTTATGTACTCCATTATGACTCTAGGTAGAATTCTGTATTCTTCTTATCGGTCATGTAATGGACGTAGCTAGCGAGCACACCATTGATGCCTTTTATGTTTGTCAATTTAGCTGCATCACTTTCAGCTATTCTCATAGCTAAAGCAGGGGTACAGGGTTGATCCACCTCTTCGCCTTCCTCTACTTCGGTTTTATTGGGAAGATCTAGCGAATCATTACAGACCAAATGAGGTTCGGTACGGAGGGGTTCAGTGGGAAATAAAGATTCTGACTCAGGTCCAGAATCCATTAACTCCTCCGGGATTTCTTGAGGAACCTCTTCAGGGTCCTCTTCAGGATCCTCATCCTCTGGTTCATATTCTGGAACTGCATTATCCATGTATAAGTATTCCAATGAACCATCTTGGATATTTTCAGTGCTACTAGAAGCCTCTTGCTTCATTTTCACCTAGAACAAAATAATTTAAATTATTTTGAATATTCTGGAATTTATTTCCGCATGAAAAATACCAGAAAATACACTGAAAATACTCACAAATAGATCCTTAATTATCTCCAAAATTATCAAATTATATATCAAAATAAAGATCTTGATTTTAGGGATTTTTAGAGACAAACCGCACCTCAAACGGACCTTTCACGCGCCTACACGCGCCCCTAGAAGGAAAAATTAGCGAAAAATTGAAAAAAAAATTTCCCACTCGCCCTGTCGGCGCGTGTACTTCACGCGCCCATGCAGCCTGCCGCCGGCGACACGCGCCGTGCCTGCGGCTTCCACGCGCCACCACCTGTCAGGTGGTGGTCCCCACGTGCCAAGGTGGGGTGCCACGTGGCAGAACGCGCCACGTGGCGCTGCTTGGTCCAAAATTTTTTTTTTTTTTTTAATTCTCGGTTTTTTTTTTAATTAAAGTATTTGGACCGGTTGGGTTTGGGTCCATTTCGGCCCAACCGGTTCCCTTCAAATTTTTTTTTTTTTTTTTTTGGTCTGGGCTGGATCCTGCCTCCAGCCCAGTACACCCTTTCCCTTTTTTTTTTTTTTTGGTCTGGGCTGGATCCTACGTCCAGCCCAGTAAATAACCCTTTTTTTTTTTTTTTATAGGAGGGGCCAAAACGACGCCGTTTTGGCCCCTGGAGGTCACCTTCAACCTCCAGCCGGGTCGCCTTGACCCGGCTTCTGCAACCGGGTCGGGTCCGACGGACCCGTCGGACCCGATTTCTTCTCTCCTCCGTATCTTCGCCGTCCGGTGTCCGTTTTTAGTGTACTTTATATCATTTTCTTCGTTTTTTCGAGTCTACGCAATGGGATAAATTTTGAAACCTAAAAACTTGATTTTAAGCAAACTCAAAAACGAGAACCGTACGGCCAAAAGAATATCAGTGTAAAACGATCTTCACAGAGGCAAAGAAGCAACCCAGTATGTCTAAACATAAATATAAGATACAAAAACTATCATACTGAAAGTAAAATGGAGGATTTGCATAATATATTGAAGCAAATCGCAAGTTACTCAGACCGAACAATCAGAAAAAAATACTGATATGAAAACGCAGGCCACAGAATCTATAGAAATATCACATGCTCTGATACCAATGTAAGGTTTTCGGGCATACCTGGAGTCTGCAATGTAATCAGGTTGCCACGCGGAGGTCCGATCACGGTGACGGAGTCGGATCTGTGTTTTCACAGCAAATGCACCACGAGAGAGAGAGAGAGCCGAAGGGAGGAAGTGTTTTTCTGGAAAAATAAACCCGCGGGTGTGTTGCATGGAGAGGAAGGAAAAAACGGAAGTTATATCTGGCGGCAGTTTTTGTAACTACCTCCACTTATCCATTCCTCATAACCGTGCGGTTCCAAAAACAAGAAGGGGAAAATTACGACTAATGACCCACATTTCTTGTTATTTTCACCAGGACCCCAACTGATAATGGGCTTGGGTCCAATCCACCAAGGGTGGACTGGCCCATTTTCCTACAGAAATATTAAAATTTAAAACAGACGAGTATATCATTTTAATTATAGATGATTTTCTTCGATTTTAAAAGCCGTAAGAACCTCCCCTGAAATCAATAGTTATAAAGCACAAACATTCCTTTTATTTTTAACATTTTATTTCCATCCACTACCCATTCGTTATTTTATAATTAAGTCATACGTGTTGGATCAAAGTACCTCTCCTGAGACACAGATGCTAGGTTACAAAATTGATAATACATTCGGTCCTAATTATAAGACCTCGTTTAGTCTACAAACGAAATCTTATAAGTAGGATCAGATGTAATATTAAATAATAGGTGTTTTAATATATAATAATCATTTCATAATAACTAAATGATTTTTGGTGCACGGAATTGCAGAAATTGTCTCAACCGCCCACCAAGCGGTAGCTAGTCTGCTTTTATTTTTGAAATATATAGATTCATTTGATTTGTTGGCTGGCCAAAAGAAAAATCCCTTTTATTTGAAAACGTCCATGGAAGAGAAATGAACGTAACTCGTATCAGCAATTCGCCTTCAGAGTACCGTCATCTGAAACATCGAAGAGTATTAAAAATGAGTTGTGCCTTTCACTCCAAAACAAAAAAAGAGATGTGCCTCTTTGTATTGATCCAAGTGAGTTAACATTAACAACTAATAAGAGTGAATGTATTCAATTTAAAACACGTACTTCTAATTCCAGTATAAATCGAAGGACTCTAAATTACATTATTGAATTAAAGTAAAATAGTATAACAGTCTCTCTCTCTCTCTCTCTCTCTCTCTCTCTCTCTCTCTCTCTCTGTCTCACACACACACACGCAGTCTCTTACACGTACATGGAACAATAGACTTTGTACACACACTAAAATAACTTAAAAAAAGGCTTCTCACCCTATTTACGTATGTAAACGATAAGTTGGAACTGCTAGCAAATGCTTGGCTCTTGGAATTGAGAGACCAAACTCTTCATTCATGTCCAAGTCACTGGGAGACATACCATAAGGAAGTTCCCAAGAAAAGCAATGAACCAATTGAGCTAAAACAAATTTAACACTAGTCATACCCAAGTTCATGCCAGGACAACCTCTGCGACCTGAGCCAAATGGTAACAGTTGAAAATCGTGTCCTCGAACGTCAATATTGCTGTCAACAAATCTCTCAGGATGGAACATATGCGCATTTTCAGACCAAACCTTAGGATCACGTCCTATGGCCCACACATTTACAATTACCCTTGTCTTTTTCCTTATATAGCACCCATTGATTGTAACATCCTCCATACTCTCTCGAGGGACAAGTAAAGGTGCAACTGGATATAGTCTAAGAGTCTCTTTGATTACCATATCTAAATAACTTAACTTCGCTAAATCAGACTCTTCCACCATTCTCGTCATTCCAACAACGTTTTGTAGCTCATTTTGAAGATTTTTCATCACTCTTGGATGCCTCAAAAGTTCGGATAAAGCCCACTCAATTACAACAATAGAAGTGTCAGTTGCCCCTCCAACCATATCTGATAAAATAGCTTTGATGTTGGCTTTATCTATCACATGGTCTTGGTCGTCCTGTAGATCCACAGGTTGGTGCATCAAGGAAAGCAATATGTGTATGAAGTCGTTATGGTGTTGTAAATTTTGTCCTTTTGAAGTGTTTTCATGCTCCATCACTATCTTATCCAACACATCCTCGAGCGCCTTGTTGTTTCTCTTTAACTTTCGTGTCAAGCCCTGGCAACATCAATTCAATAGCTCACTATATATGAAGGATAACACCAATCTGGAAAGTCTAGATATGATCTGAACAGTCCAGACCTCATTTTCTTTTATTTTAAGTTTTAAAATAATTATTTTAATAGGTATAGAATCTAAAATAAAGATAATATGTTAATTATCATTTTCCAAAAATATTTTTATTTAAAATAATTAATGAAAAATTTTAAATTTAGACCATCCAAATCTGATAAACGCCAATTAAATGTGTATTTTTTTAAAGTTCATACTATATATGTTTAATTTCTATCTAGAAACGCAAGGAAAAATATTTAAAAACAATCAATGCTCAAGGCGAAAAGATTATAGGCACATAACATACCTGGAGATCAAATACACCGAGCCAAGGGACATAATCAGCGAGATTAAATGCTCCCACCAAGCTCATTGCCTCCTTAATCAGCCCTTTTAGGTTAAACCTATCGTCCTTGGCGCGTCCCAGGACCATCCGATAAATTATGTTCTCTATAAGCTCCCCCACCATCTCACTAATATCAACAACCTCACGCGCCGCCGCGGCTCTCTCTAGGGACTTCACCGTCACTCCCACCTCCTCCTTTCTCAAAGGTGCAAACATCTCCACTCTTGATGCGCTTAGAAGGTGAATGGTGCACAGTTTCCTCACATGTCTCCAGTACGGACCATACTCGGCAAACACCACTCCCTTGTTGGCTCCTTTAGAAAACGGATCCGCCGCCCGTATTTTGGGTCGGGTCGCAAAAACAGTGTCATGAGTCTTGAGGAATTGAACGGCAGCTTCAGGGGACGAAACGACAATCGCAGGAACTTGTCCCAACTTCAACGACATGATGGGACCATATTTTTGGGCCAGCGATCGAAGGCTACGGTGTGGTCGTTTACCCAACATGTGGAGGTTACCAATGATTGGGAGGGGCGGTGGCCCCTGTGGTTGGTTCTGACCATCTTTGTGTCGTTTTGGGAAGAGGATATTAGTGGATAGGACCAATATCAATGTCAACAAAAGGATCGCAGGAATCGCTAGTGTTGAAGGAAACATGTCTGGTTGTTTTGCTTCGGAAACCGATCAAAGAGGGAATAAATTTTGTGCTTATGCTTGATAGTGGCGGATTGAATGCTAATATATATGTGAAATAGGTAGGATCCTGTTCCTATGACGTGATCAGCAAGATAATACGTAAATAGATAGAAACAAACAAAGACCTAAGAAATTAAAAAAACAAAAGTGTCAAACCCTCGAGAAAGAGAATCCAAACTCATCAACCTCTTTCGTATATATAAAATTGTGAGCTTTTGTCTCCCGATAAATGGATATGGACATTTGTTGAGTTCACACTACGTATATTATATTCAAGCATCGTCATCTTCTTTGTTCCCAGTAATTTTTTGACCAGATTGCTGTTGAATTGAAGGAAGCTCTTCCATGGACATAGTCCTCTACTTCTTGCCCAAGGATAAATTAAATTCTCGGTGTCCAAAATCCACACTTGGTGCTCAAGAAAGATGGAAACTTCCATGGAGCCTGCGTCAATTACCATCCATGAAGCTCCATTGCCATGATCAGATGGCTAAGGCAATATAATTGAGTAATTTAATTATTGGGCGCTACACATCATCACCAAATGATAAAATCAGAGCTTAATTAGAACCATCCCCTCATAAGAATAATAATCTTCACCGATAGAATCTTATGAATTAACTTTTAAAAGTACTATCAAACATTAGGGTTATAAGATAATATGTGTGTATTGGCACGGCAAATGCACGGACCGTCACAAGTTAAGACATTATATGTTTATGTAAAATCATGCGACATTAACAATCACTATTCTGATAATGAATATAAGCATATGATAAAGAATTGTTGCTTGCCCAAGAAAGAAGGAAAAAAACAAAGTAGTTTGGGTAAATCAGTTATTGTTTTGTCTAGTTTTCTTTGAGGAAGATTTAAAAAAAATGAAATTTATGGCATATTTAATTTAAACTTTGTTTTGTTTCTTAAATTTAGATTTAAATTTCTGCTTCCACCGGAATACCCGAAATTGTGCCTCTAATTAAAGTGTCAAATTGATCATACTTGATAACAAATTACTAAATCGTTTGAAGGAAATATCTTTATTTGTAATATACTATTTGTAAAATCCATATACTTATACAGATAGTGGTTTATATATATGTATATATATATATATTTGGTATACTAAAAGTTTAGATGAGTTGGGTTTTAGAGGCTTACCATGACCAAGGTATACTTTGAAGCTCAGAAAACGCTTATTTGATGCCCACCAATGCGGTCCTTACATAGGTAATGGGATTCACATTCACGATCTTACAGGTTATGAGCCGACTTTTTACCAATTAAGCCAACTCTTGTTGGTAGTTTATATACACATATATACAGCGTATGTCTGACTGCTTGGGTAAAATAAAAACAAGGGGAGAGAAACAATTATATGTAGACTATAGAAAATCTTACACGTTAAGCTATATATGTTTGACATTATTGAAATAAATTTCAACACACACACAAGCACAGTACATTCTTCATGCGATTTCCATAAATTAAAACAACACACATATACAATAGAACGCATCAAGTTAAACTAAAAAACTGATCGACGGAAAAGTATGAAGAATCTTGCTAATATAAAAATACCCACATAATTCCTCAAACGATAGGCCTTGTAATCTGAGCCTTTATTTTCAGACAAGGTACACTGGATGCATAACTAAAGGCATAGCCTAAAACCCTAGACCTTGATAATCAGTTTGAATAGTCCGTATGTAATCTACAAGTTGGAACAACCTGCAAATGCTTCGTTCTTCGGACTGTGAGGCCAAACTTTTCATTCATATCCAAGTCACTTGGACACACGCCACAAGGAAGCTCCCAACTAAAGCAATGCACCAATTGAGCTACAACTAACTTAACTGTGGTCATACCCATTTGAAGTCCAGGACATCTTCTACGACCTGAACCAAATGGTAAAAATTGATAATTATGCCCATGAATATCTATATTGTTATCAACGAACCTTTCTGGATAGAACATATAAGCATCATCGGACCATAACTTAGGATCTCGTCCGATAGCCCATGCATTCATCATGATCCTGGACTTTTTTCTTATGCAATATCCATTAACTGTGACATCCTTCATACTTTCTCGAGGGATAAGTAAAGGAGCAGGTGGATGTAATCTAAGAGTCTCCTTAATGACCATATATGAGTAACTTAACTCTGCTAAATCAGCCTCATCCACCATTCTGTTCATTCCAACCACATTTTGTAGCTCATTTTGGAGATTTTTAATCACTCTTGGATGCCTCAAGAGTTCAGATAGAGCGCAGTCAACCACAATGACAGAAGCGTCAGTTGCGGCAAAAATCATATATGCTAAAATAGCCTTGAGGTGGTCTCTATCAATAACATTGTTTTGGTCGTCATACAAATCCGTAGGTTGACGTATCAAGGAAAGCATTATGTGTACGAAGTCGACGTGATTCTGGCCATTTTGTTCTCTTGTAGCTTATTCCTGCTCTCTGACTATTTTTTCCAACACACACTACAAAAAAATAGACTTTAGGCGACAACTTTCGACGGCAACAAAAAAAGTCGCCGCTGAAAGTCCACTTTCATCGGCGAAACCAAAAAGTCGCCACTGAAAATTCGCCATTGAAACCAAGACTTTCAGTGGCGACAAAAGTGTCGCCGCTGAAAGTAGACCTTCAGCGGTGACTTTTTTTGTCATCGCCGAAAGTGGATTTTTAGCGGCGACTTTTTTAGTCACTGCTAAAAGTTCGTTATTAAAACCAAGACTTTCAACGGCGACAAAAGTGTCGCCGCCGAAAGTAGACCTTCAGCGGTGACTTTTTTTGTCGCCGCCGAAAGTAGAGTTTTAGCGGCGACTTTTTTAGTCGCCGCTGAAAGTTCATTATTAAAACCAAGACTTTCAGTGGCAACAAAAGTGTCGCTGCTGAAAGTAGACCTTCAGCGGCGACTTATTTTGTCGCCGCCGAAAGTGGACTTTCAGCGGTGACTTTTTTTGTCACCGCTGAAAGTATAATATAATAATATATATTTTATTTTACAATATTAATAAACAAATTTAATCTGGCTCAGCAGCAAGAAGATTGGACACGAAAGGAGGCGGTCACGAGTTCGAACCTGGAAGAAGACACATTTAAGGTGAAAATATTTGGACGATGACGTGGCGAGGAGGAGTGATGTGGAGGTGGCTAGTGATGATGTGGCTGCCGGTGGCAATGACGTGGAGGTCGACAGTGATGACGTGGCAGCCAGAGACGATGACATGGCACCGGCGGTGATGACGTGGCATTGGTAAAGCCAATTCTTCTTAGGCATTACTTTCAGCGGTGACAAAAAAGTCACCGCAGAAAACACTTTCGGCAGTGACATTTGTCGCCGCTTAAAAGTCTTTCAGCGGCGACAAGAGTGTCACCGCCGAAAGTGTTTTCTGCGGCGACATTTGTTGCCGCCGAAACTTCTAAAAGTCGCCGCTGAAAGTATCTTTGAGCGGCGACCTTTTTAGTCGCCACTGAAAGTTTTCAGCGACAGCTGCTACGGCAACGACTTTTCAGGGGCGACTTGTCGCCGCAAAAAACTTTCGGCGGTGACTGTTGTACTTTCAGCGGAGACAAGTCAATTTTTTTGTAGTGACATCGTCCAGTGCCATAACGTTTCTCTTTAATGTTCGTGTCAAACGCTGTCATTAATTAGTCAAATAGGTCATTCGATTCAGAGTTTCACACACAGACACACATATATCTATATATCAATGTTTTCGCCAGCTGTTATGCATAAACACACCGCTTTATCTGTATAACTTTAGAGGGGTATCGAAGAAACTATTTACTGTTAAAGAAAAATGGAAGGAAATCCAATTATCATGCGCTTAAAATGATCGACTACTAGCACAAAATTAAAGCAAATTCTTTAATTTAATAAGTCATCAATGAAAGTTAACAATGTAAGTTGAAGTAAGATGTCCTTCACAAATATTCCACGCGTGCTAGCATTAAGAAGAAAATTGGGTGCCATTATTCTTGATGTTATTTTTCATGTAGGCAAATCTTTAAGCTTAAACAGGCCTTTTTATTCCTCTGTCTGAATGTAGAGAAAAGTAGGGGAAGAGAAAATTATGAGAAACGTAAGACAAAATAGAAGAGAAAAGCAACAAGCGAGATACCGTATACAGTATACCTAGCCACGGGACATAATCAACCAGATTAAACTGTCCCGCCAAGCTCAGTGCCTCCTGAACAAGCCCTTTTAAGTTAAACCTATCATCCTTAGCACATCCCAGGATCATCCTGTTAATTTTATTTAGTTTTATTTAGTTTGCGCAGTTTAATTTTCTTAAACGAACAAGCAACATGAGAGAAAATGAACATAACATATCTATATATCGTCACTTGTATGCGTTGTATATAAAAATGAAATGAAAGAAAATGAGTCTTTTATGTATGATGTTATTTTATTTTATTTTATTTTGTAAAATACAAATTTCAACCTAAGACTATTTGGTCTAGTAGCACAAGATGTGCTCTTGGTGGCAACAGGTCTAGAGTTTGATTCCAACTATTGATCAAACTCTATGAGCATCAATATAATGCGGTTGTTATGTTCTTCATCTATTGTTAAGAAAAAATTAATAATAATTTATGTAAAAACTATTAAAAAATATGGAAGGAAAGACCCAATCATAACACAAATTACATAATCTTAAACAATTCAGGCTATAAAGAAAATTACACTAACATGATTGAGCACAACAATCACTCTGCTAGGCAATATGATGGAAGAGCTACTAAGTGATTAGCTCTTGGAATCAATAGTCCAAATTTCTCAGTCATATCCACTTCATCAGGAGAAACGCCTTGTGGAAGTTCCCAATTAAAGCAATGCATTAATTGTGCTATAACCAGCTTAACAGTAATTAACCCTAACTGCATGCCAGGGCATCCTCTTCGACCTGAACCAAATGGTATCAGTTGGAAGTCTTTTCCTCGGAGATCTACATTGCTATTCAGGAACCTCTCTGGATAAAATGCTTCCGCATTATCTGACCATATCTTAGGATCCCGTCCTATTGCCCACACATTCACAATCACTCGTGACTTGTTCCTTATATAATATCCATTGATAGTTATATCCTTGGTGCTGACTCGAGGGAGCAGCAATGGCGCAACAGGATGTAGTCTCAAAGTCTCTTTGACCACCATGTCCAAGTAAGTCAACCTCGGCAAATCAACCTCCTCGACCAAATTGCTTTTTCCTACAAGGTTTTCCAGCTCATGTTGGAGTTTTTTCATTACTCTGGGATTCTTCAAGAGTTCTGAGAAAACCCAGAGACTAACAGTGACGGAAGTGTCTATTGCACCAGAAAGCAAGTCCAAAAGTATGGCCTTGATATTGGTTCGATCTTTGACTGGATTTTGTTCATCGTCATGAGAATCCTTCAAGCAAGAGAGTAATATGTCCACGATGTCCTTGTGTTGCATTTTCTGCAGTACTGTTTGTGCCTCTTCATGCTCTTTGATGATCGTTTCTAACATTTCATCAATTTCCTTACCATTCGTCTTTAAGCGTTTTGTAAAACCCTGGATCAATAATACCTGGTTAATTTGAGTAACAGTAACAAATTTTTGTAGGATTAATGTAAACTATGTTATATATATTATAAAATTTTGTACAAAATTATGCTTCTCCGGTCCTTAATATAGGACCCAATTGTTGAGTTGGTTTTGGTCCTAAATATAAGACTCATTTCTTATATTTATCAATTTTCTCTAAATTACCCCCATGGATACTCCCTCAACCATAATCAGGTAGAAGAGGGAGAGGGAGCATTAAGAAAGATAATTATAGTGTTTTAAAAAAAATGTGTCACATTTCTTATAATTAACTAACTTACCTTACTTTCTTAATTTAATCAAATTAGTTAAATGGGTCTTATATTAAGAATCAGAAGAGTACTTTTCATAAAACTAAAATTTTGCGGCTTATTTCTAACTTCACGTGTGGCCTGAGTTAACAATCTAGTTTCACTCAAATTCTTTTATCCTCTTTAAAATTTAAATTTTGTAATCATATTTTTTAGCTTAGTTTTTATCTATTCTCTCTGTTTGATTATATTTTACTGAGAATCACTTATTGGTAAACAAAGCAACCAACTGTATAATTTAAATAAAAAAATTTCAGTAAAAATAAAGGAGAGCAAAGTAACCAACTGTATAATTATAATAAAAGGCATATTGACCATTTGACACGCAAATTTTTGGCTTGTATGAGATTTTGATTCTGGACCCACAGAACAAATTAAATACACACAAGCAAAGGAGAAAGAAAAATAAAATGTAGCCTTTTTTACATGGGTTTGAGAATTCTAACAAAACTTATTGCGAAGGGCTAATTTATTGTAAAAATCGCAAAAAAAAAACCTTAAAAATTCTTTTCAAAGTGACTTTTTTTTTTTGAAGGTAAACAAACAGGGCCCAAAGCCCAAAAGTACCCTCAAAAGATCAACCTACGAAACCTAACCTTCCCCAACACGTTCAGATTCACTTCCAGTTCCGACTTCAGACGCCTCCATTTCCAACCTTATCCTCAAAGGTAACAGCGGCAAGTCCCAGATCTGAAAATCCCTAACCATTCGAAGTCCAATTTTTGCCAGACTATCTGCACAGCCATTCATCTTTTTCAGAATCGCTGTGATCTTCAACTCCCATCTCCTTTCAATAATCTCCCAAGCTTTCCTTTTCAATCCACACTGCAGATTCCAATCTTTTTAGAGTAACCACTGATCCATTTTTCATCACTGTTTCTGATTAGTCCCCCACAGGCCGCAAATCTAGGGTCCCCAAGACAGGAATCATCAGAGTTAAGTTTCACCCAATCTCTGTTAGCTTTGCACCATTTCACAGTCTTACTAGCGCATTCATTTTTTCGCTGGGTATCTTTGGTTTTTTCCTGTATACACTCAACAGCTAGTCAGCTAGGGTCTGACATTTCATTATCAGTTCACTCGGATCCTTTGTCTTTTTGCTAAAGATCTTGTCGTTCCTATTTCTCCGCAGATTCCAAAACATGAGATTTGAAAATAATTTATTTTTTTAAAATCAGCTCAAATAATAATTATTTCATGTTTAATCTCTTATAATAATTTTTGATAACTTAGACGAGGACTTGTTTAGACATTTACAAAATTAACATTTTGTTTAATACCTACAAAAGTAACTTTTATCTCGACTTATTTTATAAATTAAAATAAAAATAAAAATCAATCAGGATAATATGATTTATTTTTAAATAGGTTTTTATAAAAAAAATCAATTTAATAGAAACTTATTTGAATAACATGTTGGGGAAAAAAAAAGAGATTTGAATCTTAAAATATTAAAAGGTGAAGAAGAAATTTATCCATCATAATATTAAAAAGAGGCATCAAACATCGTGATA